GCGTATCGGTATTCGCAACGGATGGATCGCGGTAGATTTACATTCTATTGTTGCCGCCTCTTTGTTGCCCGCGCGTTTATCCCTCACTCGCCTTCGGATTCGCGACCCAAAGCGAAAAGTTGGAAGAGCATCGGCCCTTCAAGCAGCTGCAAGGCACTTATCCTTTTCGTAGCCAGTATGCATTGCCAAATTTCCCTCGACAAATCACGAATTTTCTGAAAAATTTGTGAATACTCGTATTTCTCCGGTGGTTTTTCCAAGGACTCTGTCTGTGATTTGATGTGTAAATCCTGTAAAGGAGGAGTTGCGTTTTTGGCCTTTTCCGGCCCCACCTGGATTTTGCTAAATGTTTCATATTTTCAAAGTACTAGTCTTAGGTAGACTCTGTGCCAAATATTAGACCGATCGGAGCCCATGCAAGGGCGCAGCAGCGCCTCAAACCCAAAATCCTGGAATCGAAAAACAATTATTTTCGTCGACTTTTTCCACTGTTATCACTCTTCCAGCACATGATTCTTATGTATTTTTTTGCGTACTTTTCGTTTCTGGCCTTTTTAAAGGCCTCCGATAAATTTTAAGGGGCCTTATGGCCCATTGTTGCCATTTTTGGCCCATTTTTAGGGGTTTTTTCCATTTAACACATTCAAAACTCAATTTAATCCAATAACTGTGTACATTTTTGAAAAGTACGTAAAAAAATGAATAAAAAATGTTCAGTAAAATTTTTTCCTATGTTGCCAAATTTCCGAGAAAATTGGTCCCACACTGAGAAAAAGCTATGGTTTATAAACCTATTAGTGGTAAATATGGAACACCTATAATAGTCGTAAATAAACTAATGATTCTCGGTCTGTGAACCATACTAAGGTCTCTGTACCTAATTAAGGTACAGAGACCATAACTAAGGTATATGTGCTATTATTATATGTAGAGGTACTACTATTAGTGGTGGTCCATATTTACCTCTAATAGGTTTATAAGCCATAGTTTTTTCTCAGTGCAAAGTGTCAAAAACGGCAAAAAATCGATAAATTGCCGCGTCTAAGGTTCAAGAAAGTGGAGTACATTTTTCATACTGTACCAGATAACAGCTCTTATCCATCCATACAACATACTAAAATATCATAGTTGTACCTGGATTCCCACGTTGTGAAAATTGACCGAGATGTCGATTTTAGCGGCCTCTTTATACTTGAAGGCAGCTCTTTTGAATGTTTTTCGACCTTAGTCACCCTCTATGGGTGTGCACTATATGTATTTTTCTACGTACTTTTCATATCTGGCCATAAAAATGGCTTCCTGTGAATTTTAAAAGGCCTAACGGTCCATTGTTGCCAATTTTCACCAATTTTTAGGGGTTTTTTCAAGTTTACGTGTGTGAAACTTAATTTAATCTAGAAACCGTGTACAATTTTGGAAAGAACGTAAAAAAATACATAGAAATGTGATTTGTACCTTTTCCCTACGTTGCCAAATTTTCGAGAAAAATCGTCCTGAAGCGTCAAAAATGCCAAAAATTGGATAAATCATCACGTCGGAGGTTCCAGGAAGTGAATTATGACATTCATGTGCATCGTGGGACACTTTCTCCACGCATTTTCTGTTCCTCGGTATATTTGGCCTGTAGCAAGCATCTTGAGAACCAAGGATTATCTCGAGGTTACAGGAATAAAGAGGTGAACTGGAGTGAAGGATAAAGTAAACGTACCTTGAGGGCCCGTTTTGTCACGTTCATCTGCGCCATTACATGTTCCTTGAGATGCATTGCAATTTTCCATCTTCGATACGTTATTTGTAGTGAAAAAAAACTTGAAATTCACTTCCTGGAACCTCCGACGTGATGATTTATCCAATTTTTGGCATTTTTGACGCTTCAGGACGATTTTTCTCGAAAATTTGGCAACGTAGGGAAAAGGTACAAATCACATTTCTATGTATTTTTTTACGTTCTTTCCAAAATTGTACACGGTTTCTAGATTAAATTAAGTTTCACACACGTAAACTTGAAAAAACCCCTAAAAATTGGTGAAAATTGGCAACAATGGACCGTTAGGCCTTTTAAAATTCACAGGAAGCCATTTTTATGGCCAGATATGAAAAGCACGTAGAAAAATACATATAGTGCACACCCATAGAGGGTGACTAAGGTCGAAAAACATTCAAAAGAGCTGCCTTCAAGTATAAAGAGGCCGCTAAAATCGACATCTCGGTCAATTTTCACAACGTGGGAATCCAGGTACAACTATGATATTTTAGTATGTTGTATGGATGGATAAGAGCTGTTATCTGGTACAGTATGAAAAATGTACTCCACTTTCTTGAACCTTAGACGCGGCGATTTATCGATTTTTTGCCGTTTTTGACACTTTGGGACCAATTTTCTCGGAAATTTGGCAACATAGGAAAAAATTTTACTGAACATTTTTTATTCATTTTTTTACGTACTTTTCAAAAATGTACACAGTTATTGGATTAAATTGAGTTTTGAATGTGTTAAATGGAAAAAACCCCTAAAAATGGGCCAAAAATGGCAACAATGGGCCATAAGGCCCCTTAAAATTTATCGGAGGCCTTTAAAAAGGCCAGAAACGAAAAGTACGCAAAAAAATACATAAGAATCATGTGCTGGAAGAGTGATAACAGTGGAAAAAGTCGACGAAAATAATTGTTTTTCGATTCCAGGATTTTGGGTTTGAGGCGCTGCTGCGCCCTTGCATGGGCTCCGATCGGTCTAATATTTGGCACAGAGTCTACCTAAGACTAGTACTTTGAAAATATGAAACATTTAGCAAAATCCAGGTGGGGCCGGAAAAGGCCAAAAACGCAACTCTTCCTTTCAAGAAAATTTACTCATCGCATTTTCTTAAACATTTTCCGATACATAATCTGGCATCAGGGAAATTTGTGAATATTTCTCTTCCTATTTTCCATGGAATTCGTCATCAATTTGTTTTAAAAATTCATAAAATTTCAAGGGTTACTCATGACACTTCCTCAACAATTACTACTCTCTGAGAGCAAACATTTTAATTTGGCAACATTTGTAATGTCATATAGCGTTTTTACTTACCACAACAGTATCTAGCAGAGCGTTATGCTGGGATTTGTTCCACCGTGGAAAAAAGCGAATTATTGGAAAGTTCAATTTTTAGAGAAAATTGTGGGTGATCGAGAAAACTGAGGTCATTAGCGGCTTAGACGACAGGAGATATCAAATTTCACTCCCTCCGACACCGCATCTATCACATCGTAGTTTCCCATTCTCTCGCGAATGAGTGTAACTAACTATGTTGCCGCATCTCCCCTCGAAAATCGTAATTTCATCAGGAGAATCTTGGTCTTTATTAATTTTGTGAAAGGAAAACAATTTTCAAAAAAACGTTCGACAAAAAGTGCAGGTAAGTTCATTTTCGCAAATTATTGAATCTTCTGAGTCAACTTCGTAGGCTTGGAATGGACTTACGTTCCTTCCTACGAGAGACTTAGTCCAGGCAAATAAGCCATGAAAAGGGCTATAGCCTGCAAAAATCCCGGGTAGCAATGTTTTCATCGATTCCTATGTAATTTTTGACGCTGAATCCGAATTTCAACTTTGCGCCATTAAATTCGGACCGGAAAATTGCCAAATTTGGCAAAAATGGCCTAAAATCGGATTTTTCGGAGCAAAAAAGTTTATGGGAACTTTTTTATAGGAAATTTAACGAGCTTTATTTCTGAAAATACCTAATTTTATCGTCAGATCAATTTTTGGCAAGTTACAGGCCATAATCCAGAAAAAAATCCGATTTTAGGCCATTTTTGCCAAATTTGGCAATTTTCCGGTCCGAATTTAATGGCGCAAAGTTGAAATTCGGATTCAGCGTCAAAAATTACATAGGAATCGATGAAAACGTTGCTACCCGGGATTTTTGCAGGCTCTTTTCCTTGTTTGCCTGGACTAACTGCGAAATGATCCGCATTCGATTCCGAACTTTCAGCAAAGAAACACGTTGCCACTTTATAGTGTCTTAATCAAGAATTTTCTGATCGATCCATTCCCATTACACCAAAGCCGCCTCTAACAAGGCATCCGCGCGACGGAATTTTAATCCGGATGACTTGGGAGGATACCCGGCGATCCGGTTTCTCACATGACTCTAATTAGTGTAGTGGCAGTCGTTTCCTTTTTTTGCGGGCGACCAGTCTAATAAATCAAAATTCCCGCGCTTATCCTGGCTGCCGCCGTTCCATTGTCGCTTTTTTCGTTGTGAACTTGGATACTTTCGTCATGTCAATACTCACCAGTTGGCAAGCATGGCACTCTCAAATGCAGTGTTATTATGTCAGTATACCGGCATCAGCAACTTAGCTCATTGACGAAGAATTTTTATTTTAATGAATTGGGGTCTCTGTTCGAGACGCTTGGCGCCATACGGTACCGTTACATGAAGTCTGGTGTGCCTGCCAGAATGGATATACGGGCTACCAAATCGGCATGTAAAGCAAATACGAAGCCTGCTTTTTACACAGTGATGCACAACGATTTAGAAAATGTAGATTATTGCCAGTGGCGTGGCGTAAATTGCGATGTATCGATTTTTCTGCCATTTAAACCTATGGTACAGAATCGATTATTAAGGTGTTCGCTGCGAATACCCTGTTTATCGATCCTTTTCAATAGGTTTAAATTGCTTAACAATCGATATATCGCAAAGCACGCAACGCCACTGATGGTGGCGACCTTTGAAAAAACGCGACACACAAGGAGCGGTCGTTCGATAGGCGGGCGGGGAGTGGAAATGGCCAATTGCTATTTTCTTCATAACCTCAAATACATGGGATCTTACGGGAGTTTTTACAATAAACCAGCTGCCTCAGCTCGCAACGCTCGCTTGCTTCGCTAGCCGGGAGCTTCGCCCCATGGACCCCCTCCCCCCAGGATAGAGAATTGGTTTAAAATAAAAGTAGTATATATAAATATTAGACTAAATTGAATGTAGTAAATTAAAAAAGAATCTTACCATGAGGTGTTTCTTCTCGAAGTAAGCTTCGCTACACTTGGACTCCAAGAAGTCAATAATCATTTTCTTCTCGACAGGTGCTTAGTTGAGAATTTTGTCGAGGATTTCAAGGATATACTTATATCTTTTAGGGGACGGAGCTGAAAATAAAGAAAGAAAATTTAAGAAGGTATTCAAAACTAAAATAGGAAGACGTGTAAACACATAGTTGATTTTAAGATTCTAAAAAAAAATATAAAAATAATTACCATTAGAATGACACAGTTCGCGTGCCTCTTCAAGAGCGGAGGAATCAAACAACGCTTTGGGAATCGGATAACCAAAAATATCGTACATGGACTTCATCAGCTCAACAATTTCTAAGATCATGGTAAAAGTACGCCACGCAAGTGGTCCATCGGCAAACCTGCTTGGATCCGCATCTTAACGACATGTTCATAGAGATCGCTAGCTTGGGAGATCAAAACGTCGAGACGCTCTACAGATTCGTTTGTGAAATCTTCAGGGGATTCTGAAAAAATAGAATTTAAGGAATTAAACGGGGGCTTTAAAATTATTAAAGAAAGCGGACATGATAGTTGAAACTACTCCTGCGGGTCGATTGTTGAATCGTTATCGAATGACCTTGATCGATATATAGCATTGTGAAGATAGGGATTTATCGATCGAAATCATTCGATAACGATTCAACAATCGACCCGCTGGAGGGCTTCCTTGAATACGATGGTATTTGTACGCCTATCATTAGGGACAATTTCAACTTTTACTTTTTCATGAGACGTAGCCCTCGAGAGTGCAACGTAAAGTTGTTCATGCATGGGTGAATGCAGGCTGTGGCAAGTAAGTGCCAACACGATCTAATTTTTGACCCTGTGCTTTACTGATGGCCATACAAAAGGCAATGCGTACGGGGAATTGACGCCGCTTAAATAATAATACTATATTTTCATTTGTAAATGCACATTTTTCAACAGCGAGAACAAATATGTCAGGGTTAGTGAGGATATAAGAAAAAAAAAAAAGGAAAAGGAAGGAAAGGAGAATACAGATTTTTTTAAAAAAAGGTCTATGCCAAATACTCCGCTTCACTATAGAAACATTTGGCAACAAATAAATTTCTTAACGCATTCAGAAAATTCGAGTCCCTGTATTTGGTTTTTAGGGCTGAGGGGAGCTTTTCAAATAATATTTGGCCGCGCCTTAGCGAGTGGCTGTTCCTGGTGGCATTTGTCATTACATGGAATCTAGTGTTCATTTTACTGAGAGCCACAGGAGCTAAAGAGGTTTCAACCATAAAATTCGGGAAATATGAAATTCCCGAAAATGGGAGCGCCGAGTCAGCTCCAATGAACGATCTCCAATTATGAAGTGTCTGTAAAACTCCCCATTCGGACACTATTTCATCGACTGTTTGTAATCTGATGTCCAGATGACTATTCTGATGCTCATACAAACAGTTAGAAGTAGAACGAAACAAACAATTGCCGTCCTCCTCCGTATGGATGCGCAACATGGTAGAAATTTCGAAATTATGAAAATAAGCTAAGAAAAGAAAATAATTGTTAAAGAGATGTTAAGAATACGCGAGAAAATGTAAATTTTTAACCAAAACTGATCAGTCTCTCCGTGGACAAAACCATGGCAGTCTGGGAAAAGGTTGTTAGGTTGAAGGAAACAATTAACAAAGAATTAAAATAATACCGTACACACTTTCAACACTGGATAGTTACAATTTCATGTTGTATGCGTGGTTACAAACACAAACTTTAAACGATTATATTAGGAGGAAAACACAAACACAAAATTTTTAGACTTGACACGGTTGGATGAATTTGGCTTTCTCGGGTGCTTTTCCACGGAAGTTCGTCACTTGTTAAAAATATTTATCGATTTTACGATGGATTTTTACTTCCGCCTTAGGTTTATATTCCTTGAATCCTTATCGAGCTGGATTTGAAATCAGAGCAAATAAAAATTCGAAAGTCGGTTGAAGCATTACGTGATACCTGGTCACCATATAGCAAGGTATGGCTGTATGAATGCCGTTGATGTGTGAATTTTTATCCGCTTCTGCATGCAACGTCATAAAGATGTTATCGTTGGCACTCCCACAAATTATGTTGCACGGCACATTAACTTATCATTTCTCTTAGTGTTCCCCAGTGTCGAGTTGTAAAATTAATTTTCTACAAAAGAGTGCTCGTAACTTTTTAAGTGCCGCCTATTTTTTCATCTAATATTTATCAACGTTGAACACCAAGTTCATAAAATCAAGTCAATAGTTCAATCTGCAATATTTTTTCCTCCTTTCATCATTTTGACACCTACACTATTTTTCAATTTAGTGCCTAGGTGAATTTTCTTTAATAGATTTACTGGATATTTTGCAATCGGGAGCTGAAATTTCTAACTCAATTTATGTACCATTATTTTCCCTTCGCACGTAAGTCTTTTTACAGAGTTTTCATTTTCTGTAAACTTACAATTGAAGGATTTACATAGACATTTACCTAGGCTGCCTTAGTCTCTGCTAATTGATTCGCATTTAGCCAAAAGGAACTAGCGCAATTACAGTTTTGTAATACTGTTTGCTATATTACTGTCCTTATGTAAAAAAAAAAAACCATTTAACCTTTTCCATGTGTGTTTAAATTGCGGATCAATCGATTCATTGCAAAGCGCGCTACACCACTAATCGACACGCGTATGTAACCAAAGCGTCCATTGACTGTATAGTTTCGACGTCGAGGCGGTTTTCGAGCCCGGACCCGATGATCCATATTCTTCCATTCGAAGCTACGATGAAGGATCTATCATTGAGGTGTTCATCGCGAATGCCCTGCTTATCAATCCTTTTCCATAGGGTTGAACGGCAGATCAATCAATCTATTGCAAAGGCACGCGTGTGATGGATCGTTTTCGATAGTGGTTCGATGTATCGTTTGGTTCAAAACAATAGACCATAACCTCACACAAAACTTTCAGGATTTAAGGCGGAAAAGCTGTAAATGAGAAAATCCGTAACTATTTTTTACCTTGCGATGCCATTTAGTACCCATAAGAATAAAAAATCTATCAGAAAAACCCCGTTTCCATAGATTACTCGATTGACTTTTGAGGCTATGTTTACATGTTGAACCAATCGATATCGATGCAATCTCACCTACTTGATGTATCGAAAACGATGTATAGCAACGCGCCCATTGACCGGAGCTTCATGGCGGTTCCGACGGAAAATCGAAAATCATATTGGCCGCGGCCGAGTGCGAGCGGGGCCGGGGCGAGATAAAAATATTTATCAGGCAGCACATTAATTATGGGCGAGTCGGGGCTGGAAAAAGTCCATAAATTAGGGCTCCGACAGAGTCGACAGCGACGCGGAGAGAGGCTCGGAGGTGCATAAAATAGAATGGCGGCCGGGGTCGCCGTGGCGGCAGTGGGGAGGCGGAGAATAATATAAAGGGCATTGAATTGGAAATAAGACGCGATATCACTAGAGACACTCGCGGCCCCTGCGACGCCAGCTCCCACTAGAAAGGGCCCTTTTTCGGGTCCATATAGGGGTTGCCTAGGCTCTCCACTCTACTCAGGAAGATCGCCGTAGAATCGACCAGGCATCGGCAAATTTCCTCCGACAAATCACTAATCTCCTGGGCATCATCTCACATTGTGAATATTTCTCCTCTGATTTTCAGAGATTTTCGCTCATATTTTGATCAGAAAACTCTTAATTTCAAGGATAAATAGTCATACCCCATTCCAAAATCAGAAAGAATTTGTTTAATTTGATTGGTGTGGGCTGATAATGAAAAGAGCAGGAATCACGGGAAAAAAGTTTTGGGGGTTATCCTCTCACACTGGAAAAAAAACACATTGGATCCAGAGTCCAGACTCTTAAAGACATGGGCAAGAAAAAATACTCTTGATTATTTTATCGGATTTTTGCTTAATTCAAGAACCAAGCTTCTTAATTTGAGCGGATTTCCTTTTGATTTAAGCAAAAATCTGATTGAATCAAGAGTATTTCTTCTTGTCAATGTTTTCAAGAGTCTGGACTCTAGATCCAATGTGTTTTTTTTCCAGTCTACATTTGCTATTTCCCTAATTTGTTGGATGACTTGGGCATTTCCAACCAATGTTAGTAGCACGGCTACTAACAAACTACTAAACGTTGGGGTAGTGTTGCAAAATTTGGGTTAGGAACGTAATTTATTGGGGGACAGCCACAATTAATTGAACGCGTCCATATTATCCAATATCCAACAGTTGGGATTTAGCCCCTACCTTTTTTCCGTGTTTCTCAATTATTTTTAGTATTTGTTAATAAGAAAGTTCTCTACAAGTAGAAATAAAAAACCAGAGAACGGATAACAGAGGCGTATAAAACAACAAAATATAAAACCTGGGTTAATTCGGAGTGGTTCCAACCCCCTCCTCGACCAGAGAACTATAATTCATAAAAAAACCAATATCTAGACCCTCATTTCGTGATATTAGAGGGGTTGTACCGCAAATTGTTATCACGAAATGGGGGTCTAGGTATTATGAATTTTTAAATTTGTATAAAGTTTGTTTTTCCTGGTCGAGGAAGGGGTTGATATCTTCCCCAAAACGTCCCAGGCTGTATGTTTCGTTGTTTATTAGCCTTGGTTACCCTTTCTGATGTGTTTTTCACTTGAATTATTCGGGCTATTTTCTTATACTTTGTTGTTATCTACATGTTAAGTTCCTGCACTTCTAGGTGGTAGCTAATTGGATTACATTTTGCAATAAGGAACCATCATCTTTGGCTTTTCCATGGAAGCACCTTTCTGCATATGGACGTCAATGGCATATATGTTGTTTCTAAAATGAACCAGTATTTAGTGGTTCCTTCCCGCAAAATACGGTCAAATCGGAGTTTCTGTCGCTTCTAGTTCCTGGGCAATCTTCTTTTGTCTCTGGCCAACCTGGCCATGGATCTTTCACGGTCGGTTTGACAACGTGGCGGCCCGAACAGCATCTTGTGACAGGACTTCCTGACGGGTCGGGTCGGGGCCATCCTCTGGGAGAATCCCCCATCCCTCCTTGCCTAAAAATACCGGCTACTCGACGACGAAGGAAAATAAATAAGTTACTTCGGAGGGCGCGCTAGACGAGAACAAAACACAAGCTCAGGGCGAAGGCGCGCGTTCGCCGCTTGTGTCTCCCGGCGCAAAGGAGCTATGTCCAGCCAGGCCGACTGCTCGAGTTTTTACGGCCGGAGTGTGCCCGAGTGTCTGCCGAGATGGATGTGCCGGCCGTAATATCGCCGATTGAAGGGAATTACCATAAAAACACGTCGTAATTGCGTTTAATGACATCCAAACGAAACGGCTCGCGAATAAAAATAATTGATATCTTCCTCCGCAGTTATTACGCGCGCCGACAACTCCGTAACGGAAAAGGTGTTTACTCGCGTCGATTTAGCGGGTCAGTCCCTTCGTCGATGTCCATTCAAGTCCGGGCCACCTTTGCT